GTTCCATTCTACTAGGCATGAATTTCATCTGATCTCCCGGTTGTAGCTGTCACACGACCGAGAACAGGAACATCAGGTTTTTTTGTTCTTTTTTTTGTGGAAATCTCTTTTTCCCCCCAGTCAGTGGAACAGGGGGAGGAAGGATAAATCCTTAGCTTACTAATGTCCCTAATTTCCATCAACAAATTCCACCCAATCATTTGAAGTGCCTAATCACTTTTGATGCTGGCATTGATGCCCACAAGAACGTAACTATAACTTGTTCTGATCGCCACGAGATCCAAATCCAACCTTAGAGGGTACCTACGTCTTCAGACTACATCAGTGCAGCTCTAGTCTTCCTCTCTGCCCCGTCACCCCAAGCCTGTCCCAAAAGATCAGCCTCAAGGTATTCACACAGTAACTGAGAAACTTGCTCTGGGACACAAAAAGGAGTTCCTGAGTACTGCATAATTTCCTAAGGCTTTTGTAGATACAAACTACGATATCCATGGAGCCCTTTATCACCTTGAATAAACAAGTAATATTTAACGCATACCAGAGTATAGGTGAGGACGAGATAAGGTAAAGATACACCTGTATAAAGAAGTCGAGACCTGTCTGCCTGCCGAGTTCATCTGATCCTAAGACTTGCATTGGATTTCAGGTGAATTCTCATTTATGAGAACAGAGAGAATTCACCAGTACTGCCAAAAATCCATCAGTAGCCCACTGTTACTTTACCCTGCAGCCCCTGCCCCTTTTTTAAAACTATCTTCTACCTCATACATCTTACTTCTCAAGTAAACTTTTCTGGATCAAGTTTTTGAATGGAACTGATTAATAAACAAATATATGCAACACTTCCGTCACGACAGGCTCGTTTTAGAGAATTAACCTCCCAGATCAACTTGACATATGGGTGACTTACAAAAGCCGATATGAAATGGAGAGGAAATAGGAACCTCAGCTAATCAAGCCACGCCGACTCACCGAGCACAGCTGAGAGATTTTTTTTCCAGGCACAGTAAAGTTTTCGAGACTGGATGTTTTTTAATCCTCCTCCTCCCACTCTATGTGGGAAAAGGAGGAGACGTTTTACCCTGCTTTTTTTGTTTTGGTTTTGTTGGGTTAGGTTTTTAGGTTTTTTGTTTGATTGGTTTTGTTCTGGTTTTGTATTTTTTGGAGTTGGGTGCTGGTTTTTTGTTTGGGTTTTTTGCAGGGGGGTGTTGTTTTTGTTTTTTGTACAAATAGGATCGGCTGGTTGTACATCCAGAAAAGACAAACAGAAAATCATCTTCTGGCAGAGGTTGATTTCTGAGGGCCCAGACATACCAGCAGAGCCCGCACCAGCAATATCAGGTGAAAGCACTGACACTGTTCACTACATCTCCTAGATATAATATCACTGTCACTGTGACATGCAGAAGAAGTGCTGCTAACCCTTAAAGGGCTGAGCCTTGCTGTGGATAATGCTAGAGCGAATTAAGTATTACAAAAAGCTTTGTCGACATCACACTCATTCAGCTTCTGAAAAGCTTTTTAGATCCTTTTCTTTTTCATCTCCCATTTCTGCAGTAACCCGGAAGTCTAGCTCTAAATCAGGTAACCCCATCAAGTAGCATTAACTCCTGTTGTGTTGAGGACCACCACGGCAGATCATCTCATCCTGACAATGCTGTCACATGTGTGCAGTGATTGTTGAGGTAGACCACAAAGCCTTATACAGCCTGATCTGGATGGACAGAGAAGTTAGTCTTACATTGACCAGTCTTTTGTAAGGAATCCCAAGGATTTAACCGAATGGCTCATTGGCTCAGAGAGACCCAAGTTGCTATTGTCATGAGGTGCCATTCAAAGGAGGATGGGAAGTCATATGATGACTCCCTGCCACGTCTCTCATTTTTATTAGTCCAACTTGTGTGACTTGGAAGCAAGTCCCATGGCTTGTACTGCCTTCATCTCAAAAGGAGGAGCAGGTTCTACGCATCACATACTGAACAGAGAAGCACAGAAACCATCCAAGTGCCTCACTTACTGAGCACAGACAGGATCCTGCATTGTAAGCATTGCTCGGCAGCAGTTTTAGCTTTCCAAATAGGCACTGTTTTCTCTGGGCAGGCTGGTCTTCTCAGCAAGCAGTGTACATGGTCTTAGAGCCCAAGTACAACCCCTAAAAACGTACAGAATTGCCTATAGCCCTAGTAGTAATACAGGTGGTGCTGTCAAGATAAAAAAAAACAAACATGGTTTCATAAGGGAATACCTTCTCTCTGTTGGTTCATTAGGTACGCAACAGTAAAAAACAAAAATGCCTTTTGTGTGCATTTATGATTGCAGCCAACAGGTTTATGTTGTGAATCACTATTTGAAATGCATTCCCACACTGAAGTGTATTAAGAAAACACTATGGGGTCTCCTGTAAACCAACAAACTGCAGGAGAGTCAGAGTTGAGGCTGAAATTGCACACTTGATATACTTCATTATATCTAGGTGTGTAACTGAATAGCTTGTGATAATGCTCACTGTTCCAAACACTTTTGATACATGACCAGAGGCTGTTTTGTGGGCATAGAAATTGTATCACTCCAGGAGGCCCGGGAACTTGGGAACTGAGACCAGCTGTCTTCATTTTGATGGGACACTTACTATTTATTTTTTATTTTAATTTTTAAGGCTAGCTCATAATTTATCTACCTTCATTTTTTAGAGCCCCAGATGTAATTCACCAGGCAGAGCGCTAAAAGCTTACTAGTGCTTTCTGAATCCAAGCTCTGCTTAACACAGCCGTGGTGGCTCCCGCCTGCTTGTTTCAATATCCTGTGCCACAGGAGTATAAGGATACACAGCACAAGAGCAGACAGGGGAACCAAACTAGCGCCAACATATAAAGACATGCCTCAGAGCATTACAAAAAGGAAACAAACCAAAAAAAAAAAAGAAAACAAAAACCCAAAACTCTCTTGGTTTAGTAAACCCAAGGAATTTAAAAAAATAATAATAATAATAAAGCATATGAACCTATTCTACCTTTTTCTGTCCAGGTTTCTCAGGGTTGAGTTTCACCCCAAGGAGGCAAATCTCTAGCAGGAGCTTCCAGGAGTTCCCAGACTGCACTGGATCCAGTTTCAGGTGCTCAATCAATGCTACTGCACTGTGTCCACAAGACTGAGAAGCCTATTACTGACCTCAACTCTTTCCGGTGACCTCCTTCAGCCCTCTAGGGTAACAGCACATTTCATTTCCCACCCCCAGATCCACACAGCACTCCACATCAACACAGTGAAGGGACTGGAATCAATCCTTAGAGAGGTCTCAGCCAGTCCGAAGTGCTGGGCTCAGCCCTGCTGCCTTTACATAAAGCCAGAAATATCTGTCAGTATAAACTGGCAGCGCTTTTCTGCGCTGAAAGGGTTCTGCATAACTCAGTAGTGCCCCCATCTGTAAAATGAAGAAATTACATTTCCTTTATAGGATGCTCTGAAAACTACAGCCAGAAAAGGAACTACAAGAGTAAGGTGCTACAATTAGCAATTGCTTTTTTCTTTTTTTCCTTTTTTTTTTTTTTTAACATTATAGTAAATAAGTGGAGTAAGTCACAGAGTGCTTCCATTTTCAAGGCTAAACCGTCACGGTATTGTTCCACCCTCTCTCATTTCTGCCATACATTTAACCTTTTATGTCCTATTTCTCCCATAGAAATCCCTAAATATCCCAAGAAACACAGTTCCCAGGATATTTGTCACCCAGCTGAAACCAGAAGGTGTTTGAAGCTTCATGAGAAAGCTTGCTCACATATGATGTGGAACCACACTTCAGGTAGCATTTCCTCTGCAAATTCTAGAGATTAATTAGCTAGCCATAAAAGAACAAATATCAACCCTAGAATTATGGGAAGGAGGGGAGTTATGCTTTTACTTCAATTAGGAGAGTTGAAGGAAAGCAAAAAATCATTACTGTATGCCTGATCAACTTCCTAAGCAAGCAGAACCAGGAAATAAGATCACTATCACTTCTGACTTCCAGAATGCCCAGCGCGGTCTTTGCAGTCACTTTTATTATTTTTAACATGAGAGGCAATCTAACAGACAGAAATCCAGGCTCCTGCTACCCGATAAAGAAGGCAAGAAACAGCACTATTCTATCTAAACTCAGCGGTAAGACCAGGATGACCTTTCTGGACTCATTTTCAGTTGTGTTATGAAGTTTAAATGGAAGCAGATTGAACCTAAGTTGTGAAAGTCAAAACTTGCCTCCTTGTACAGCATGCGGGCACAAACTCTTCTTTGTGCAAAACTAAAGCTATTAAAAAGCCAAGGACATATGACCATCCTCCTTGTAAATTGAAGACTGATGGCCTAGCTATATTTACAAGTGGCAATTTCAACTTCAGCAACACTGTCCGCAGAGCATACGTGAATGTGGGTGAGTGACAGACAAAGCAGGAGAGATTCCCAAGTGGCCTCTGCCACCATTATCCCGGTCAAGTAAAGCACCGGCAAGCACAACGAACTTTGCTAGCGCGTACGAGCTGCCTGAGTCAGGAGGCACATGGCCATATTCATAACACTTTCCTATGTTAGAGTCAACATATCAAGCACGCCACCAAAACTCGGCAAGGAAACTCCAATAGCACCAATGTTGAAGAGTTTCAAAGAGATTCCCCCAACAATCAGGCTGCATCTTCCTCTATTTAAAGCACACATGGGAATGAATTTTGCAAGGCAGGAATCTACAACTTCCTATGAAACCAAAATACACTTCACTAGATGTTTTCCCTCTTGTATCCTTCAGCTCATCACTTACCTTTTGTAGACTTCTGGGCAGTGTTTTCATATGCTTTGCTTATTTAAAAAAAAAAAAATTAACATCAACAAATTTCTAGGTTTCAAGAAATCTCTCCTAAATCAAATCATCTTTTTTAAATGTTCCACCTGAAGGTTTCCTGTAAAATATCTCATTGTCCCATTCAGATTCATTTTTAAGCTGTTAAGAAAATTGTGATCTCATAGGTACTCACAGAAATTTTTCCAGTACGATTGGCTTCCTCTCTTTCTGCCAGGGCCCGCAAAAAGTTATCTTTCAGTTCTTTTCCTACACTTGCTAGTGACCTAGAAAAAAAATGGTACAATTATTACTATTAATTATTGCCACAGACTTTGGGTTCACCATTAAGCGTTACGTAAATATAAGGAGACAGTCCTCACCCTACCACAGCTAATTTGTCTACTGCCTGTTCTGCTTTTACAAACCCTTAAACTGCTCTTCAAAATTCATCGCTGCTGCAGACGTAAGATATAATAGTAGTTTATCAAAAGGTGACTTCTATCAACACACATTTTCAATTATATATCCGGAGTAATCTAAGCGCTTATTTTATATCTCCAGAATTATGGCCAAAGTCATGTTTACATAAGAATTCCAAATTTGCACAGTGTACCAATATAAACTTGAACAGATTTAATACTTTATTCTTCACCAGAAACTAATCAAATGAACTACTACATACGTAGACTGCTTCGTGTGGTATGGTCAATATAGTTTCAGTATCCTTAAGTACAAAGCATGAAAAGAAAAACCAATTTTGCTCCACAAAAACTCACACCAAAAAAAAGAAAAAATATCACAAGAAAGGATACCATACACTAAAAATTACTTGTTAGCCTTTGAACACAGCGCCCTAGAATTCAAACAGTCATTAAAAACAGAAAACACGCATCAGATGGACAAAAGCACTGAATATTGGACAAACCCTTCAACAAAAATGTTGTTCTTTCAAATGGTTTCTACGAGTCTCTCAGCATAATCTAAAGCCCTTGCCCATCTGCAGGGGTCATTGTACTCACTTCAGTGTACTTTGCACACACGAGAAGGAAGCGGAGACTTCCTAAATCCTGCACTAAAGAGGCTTCACTGGGAACTCTTCTTTTAATGTCTAAAGTAGTGAATGCTGACTGGAAAGCACGCTCTCAGGCAACTCAAGGCAAACCAGCGCCTCTGAGGTCAGCACAGATCTACCTGAAAGGGGAAGAACTATTACATCCCCCCCACTATCTCGATGTGAGTATTTCAATAAAAAGCAGTAGTATTTGTCAATCTAAGTAGACAGAATACAGCATCAATAAGGACCTTTCTGTCAAGTGTATAATGTATAAAGTTTCAAATAAAAGAGTGCCACAAAAACTGAAAAATTCCCTTTGGCAACTTTTTAAATATAGACATGCGTGGTAATGTCCTTAAACTGAGTGAAAAGCCTGCATCTAAGCTTCAAAACTCTGTTGTAGAGCTATCAGGTCAATCTCTGGCCACTTCACCAGCTGTTATCCAGAAGTACATTAGTTTGAAGCTGTTTCAGAAGTGCCTCTGCTGCACTGTAAAAATAAAAAATGAAAGACTAACGTATGGATTAAAACACCTCAATTAATTAGATGTAAAAGATGGATAAGAAATGGAGTATCATATTTGCCTTTTCCTGTCCGGTTAAGAATTCTAGATTCCCAAAGTCTTCCTTTCTCTGGCAGAGGTTAATACTAAATCAACAATAAATCCATGTTTAGCAACTGTTCTAGCCAACTTCACTTGAAGTTTGTGGCTCCTATTTTGAACCAGAAGAAGGGTGTGGATGCCCGAAAGATTATGTGTTTTTATCCGCTTAAATCTTATGTTCCAATAAGACACTTCACCTTTCCTTAAAAACCTTGTCTTCCTCCCATCCTTCAATCACCAGCAAAATAATCACTGACCCACTTGCAGAACACTAAGATGTACACAACTTCTTTTTTAGTCAATATCATTACTTCCGCATTAGCACACACTGAGCCATGCCTGAAATCAAGCTGCACTGCTCCTGAGAAATAGGAGGTATCACTGTGTGGCCCTGTCTAGGTCAAAAACAGAGTGTTAAAACACAGAGCTGAAATATCGTAAGGCAGCAGGCTTTTCACAATCCTTGAGGTAATTCCAAAAGGGCATTGTTGTGCCTTACTTGCTGTGTTGACTACTTGGGGTCTATTTCAGTAAGTCTAACGCCTGAAAGATGCAAGATGAGAAAAGGCATCATCTGATACATATGTATTTTCCACACGCTGTTCTCAGCGACAAAGCCCCCCTTGCTCTGCAGAAGACGCTTCAACACCTACGAAATGAATGGAAAAAAAAAAGGTCTGGATTTAACTAAAATAAATTCATTCTCCTATGGCCCGTGAGAAAAACCATCAACAATAATACTATGGCTGAATAAAACATTAGGAATGCAACGCATCATGGTTGAAGTGACACCGAAGCAAGATCAACACTAAGCTCTGCTCCAAGTAACTGGCTGCTTTTTTGTAATAAAGAGGGGGGTAGGACAGAAGACACACATCGCCCCCCTATATATAGTAATATACTATTACTATATATACTATATTACTGTATATATACTATATTACTATATATACTATTACTATATATACTATTACTGGATAAAGAATAACAGAAGGTAGCGCTGTTAGATTTGAATCACAAAGGAAGTGGAAACAGGCTCAGGCTATTCTGAGGTAAACCTTAACAAATTTAGAAAACAAGAGCGTTGGAGAGAATGAAGAGCTTAACACTTAAAGCCTGAATTCTGAAACTCCAGGATCTGGAAGCATCCCCCAACACCTAAGCAAGTGTTTCCTGAGGTAGGGACAAAGACCCACTTGGTAGACCTTCTGCTTTTTTTAACTCGCAAGGATTCACTCCTTTATTTCCTGCATGAATGTGTACGTTACTCCTTTGAGTCCCGGTCTTTTTCACTTCTTTGCCCCTTGGGACATGCCTCCTTCGCCTCGCTATCCCTGTCTTTCCTCTTGGGGCTTGCCCACACAGGAAGAGTGCACCCGTTTACCTTAAGGGAGATTTTCAACTAAGGTAGTTAAAACAGTACAAAAGGTCACATGAATATTCTTAAGACTGGCTTAAACTAGGCTCATTTCAGTATCAAACGTAATCAATTAGTAACTGACCTGACTTAAACTGTCCACAAGGAATTGCAAGCTTCTGCAGACATATATTTGCATTGAACTGGTTTAAAAAGAAATCGGTTTGACTTTAGTAAACTGTACATAAAGAATTGCAAGCTTCCCGAGACATAAGTGTGCAATGAATTGCTTAAAAAAGTTCCCGTTATACATGGTTCTCATCTGAATAAGGCCACGTATTCACTATGAAGATGCAGCACGTACAGAAACATTGTATGAGCATTTGTTACTGGCCAGTCTTTGAGAAAGAAAGGAGACTTTTCTCTCCCTGCCACAGCAGCACGTACATTCTCCACACTCTAGTTTACCATCACAGCAGCAGACTGAGAAGATCAAGGCATTCCACTCTGCACAAGTTCCCACACACATAAACAGGCTGAATTTTTGGGGTGTGACTAGTTAGGCATTCACAAAGGCCATGTCATGTTTGTTCCAGCTTCCTGCCAGGTGAGATGAGGGAGTTCTCCGAGCAGGGAGGAATTCTCTAGCACCCACCAAACACTACTCCTGTCTAACGAGGGTTGCTTAACTTACCGTGACCTAAAAATTGCTGTTAAAATGAATTAAAAAAAAAAAGTTACTTCCCAAAACCTGTATTAGGTCCTTCACAAAGCTAGAGAATTACACATTATATACTAGTATAGAAAACATTCTTGCAGGTTACAACAGCCCTTGAAAAGGAGAGCACAAAATATTTCATTATTAGCATCAATTGATGCATCTCCAGCATCACACATGTAACCGTAACATTCATGCGCTGCCCGAAATTACTCCTACGATTCAGTTCATGCCTCAGCATACTTACTGAAGGATGCTTTAGAGTGAAAACCCAATTTACGAGGCAGCATGATCTCTTTACAAGGCACTCTGATGCTAACTGCAGTCACCTGTACTCATCACTGTACATTTCTGACTGACGATATTTTTTTTTTTCATTATTATCTGCACCACATGGGTAGAGGCCCATACCGAGAGCAGGATGTTACTGTGCTAGGTGCTGTACAATCCTCCTGATTTGGTGAGCTTTGAAGCCAAACACCCCGGCACAGAAAAGCCGTGTATAAAAAGTGAAGTACAGAAGGTTACTATTCTCATTTTTCAAATGGATATCTGAGACATGCAAAGATTAAGCAACGTATCCAAAGATAACACAGAATGCCTCTTCAAAGATGTTGTTATTGTCACCAGCCTGGTGGCAAATGCTCTATAACTAGTTGTGTTAAATATTAATTCCTATATTAACTTCTCACCTTCTGAAGACATGCTTTTACTGCACATACAGAAGAGGGAGCATTAACAACGATTAACACTCCTCACTACAGCGTCCTTTAACGGAAGCAATACTGACAAGAAGTATTACAGTTTAGCAAAAATAGAAGGGATATTTTTCTAAAGGAACTTGTTCGGGTACAGAAACTCCTAGTGATGTTAACGCTATTAACTATTGGTTGCTGCTTTTAATTCCATAAATACAATTCTTAGTTTATGATGCTCAAAGTTTCACTTATGAAACCATGCTTTTCCACAGTATCTTGTTCCTTTAAGCTGCTCTTCTCCTTCCAAGAGCTCCTACTATCTTCCACCATCCCACACACCCTTCTCACATTCCCAGTTCAGATGCCTTTTGCTTGCAGCACGCTTTTTTCGTTTTCAGTGATAGGCGTTAGTGAAGAAGAAAGAAGGAAAGCTCTTTTTGAACTTGGGTTAGTGCTCCTTGATTCTTATTTTGACAGGCTACAATGCTCCCCCCCCGCGCCCCCCATTTTGTTATGGTTCCCTAGGGCTTCATTTATTTTATTTTCCTACATCTTCTACCATGTTGGCTTTTCCTGAGAGCACTGGAGTCACAGTTGGAAACAGAACAATGTAGTTTAACTTTTTGAGAGCCCTGTTGACCTGAAGAATGCTTTTTATCAAACTGAGATAATGGGAAGAACATCTAACAGTCACATTGTTATTCTTTCAAAAGTACGCTCCATGTTCCAGTTCAGCAGAAAGCCGGACTGGAATGCACATACTTGCCTAACTTCTGCAAAGCAGCTGTGTTTTGCAAACACCTGCCCCAGGATTAGTGGGGAGACAGGCGTAAGAACTCAGTCCCAAAGTTT